GTCAAAGTCTTTATTATTAACACATATTTGGTTTGTATGTGTTACTTTGATGTATCGATATTTTTGTTCTTGATAGACTACGATTACAACACAACTCTTTAACTACGTTCAAGTCTGCCACCCCAGTGAACCTTGGTATCGATCTACTTCGTCGCTTTAAAAAGAATCCACAACAAGCAATAAATAGAAAGATGTTATGTCAGATATACTCTCACATCTCGTAGTTTGCTTTAGCTCTTAATGGCCGCTCTGTATCAATGGGTGGACACGTGACCTTCAGCTCACATCCAATCACGTCTCTACTTCATACACGATTCTATTTTTAAATTTGGCGTCTAAAAGAAAGCCACCTAAACAAAAGTCTAAAAGAAAGTCACCTAAACAGACAACTATAAAGCCTAGGCAAAGAAGATTACATTGGGCAGACCTTGGTACCGAAGAGCTGAATTTAGAAAACATCCTTTAGTACGGTTCTTATCTTTTAGATGACCTTTCTTCTGAAAAGCCTTTAGGTCTACACTGTATTGTGCACCAAACAAACTTTAAGCCTATTATAAAAACACCAACTTTAGACCTCTTCTTTTCTCAAAGCTGTAGCAACAATCGATGGCGAAGTACTAACTCTGGCTTTGAATTAAGTACTGCAAACTCTTAAAGAGTTAATCTACAAGACAGCGTAGAAACATGGGGAGTAAGCTGGGGCGCTGGGAGGGGGGGGGGCGTGTTCACGGAGCACGTTGTCCTTGGTGCAGGTGTGCAGTATCCAGTGCCTCTTTCCTTATTCACACTTGCGTCCACACAACATAGGGTTTTCCACTCCCAATGTGTAGTTGTCATTACTAGGAAATAGTAGTGTATTCTCTCTGTTCCATATTAAACTTCTCCTTCGACGACTACGCTTGTACCAGTCTTTGGTCCGATAAACGGTCGTGGTCCACCAACTCGTGGTCTTTTCCTTAGAGACCACCATCTAGAAGTGGTCGTCTAATGAGGAACAAGAGCTCCTTGAACAAGCTGGCCACCCAGCAAGGCTATGATCTTCCACCGACGTCAAATAGCCAGGAGCTTAAGTCTATCCTCATTAAAACATTTTATCTTTTTTAGCTCTTTTTTCCCATCTGTCTCTTTTCACCTCTCTCTCTCTCTCTCATTTTCTCTCTCTCTCTCTCTCTCATGTTGCTATTAATATTTATTTGGCATTTTGAAATTGGGGTTAAAGAGTTTTTTTCCCCCCTTGATTTGTCTCTAAAAGGAAACTAACAAAAATATCGATCGATGATGATTGTTAGCCTATATTTTAACATCTAGATATAAACACCTAGATTTTAAGTTTTCCAAATCTCATTTTAGCTAGATGTACATTTTACAATTAAAAATTTGACAGTTTTCAAACAAGCTGTTTAGACGTTAGTGTATAGATCTATGTTCAAGTGTTCAAGACCTCGTGTATAGGTTCAAGTTAGGGGCGTCGCTAGGAATTTTCCATCTTTTGGGGGGTCGGGGGGCTTGGCCCCTGCATTTTGCGTAATATTTAATTTTTAATGTAAAACACCCATTTAGGGACCAGCCTCAAGTGGGGGCGAGGGGGATTTTCGAATTCTCTCCCATCCTAACTACGCCACTGGTTCGAGTGTTCAAGACCTCGTGTATAGGTCTGTGTTCAATACCTCGTGAATAGGTCTGTATTCAAATGTTCAAGATCTCGTGCATAGGTCTGTGTTTAAGTGTCTAAGACGATGTGTTGTGTTTTTTTAATTTTTGTTGAACTAACACACAATTTTTTAGATTCAATAAAATCAAGTTGTCTGTTCTGTGGATTTTTCTTGACATGAAATTGCTTTAAAATAAAATTACTAAAACTCAACACGCCCCAAAGACATGAAACAAAAAAGGGTGAAAAACGACAACTATGTCTCTTCATATTTTCCCAAAAGTATTTAAACGATTTCTTTTTTTTTTTCTAGTCAAAAACGCTCATAACTTAAGCCAATCGATCACCTAACATTTTTTTTTCTCATTTCTTTTTTTAAATTAAATCATTTCATTAACTTCCCTTCTGTTACTCTGCTTTTCTCCCTCTCTGACTTTCTATCACTCTCTTTTCTCTATTTCTCCTACTCTCTCTCTCCTGTACTCTTTCTCTCATTTTCTCTTTCTCAATTTTTTTCTCTCTTTCTGATTCTAACTCTCCTCGTTTTAACGTATCTGATGATATATTCAAAACAAAACACTCTTTCAGGATGTCACTGGGCATCTGATGATATCTTCAAAACAAAACACTGTCTCAGGATGTCACTGGGCATCTGATGACATCTTCAAAACAAAACACTGTCTCAGGATGTCACTGGGCATCTGATGACATCTTCAAAACAAAACACTGTCTCAGGATGTCACTGGGCATCTGATGACATCTTCAAAACAAAACACTCTCAGAATGTCACTGGGCATCTGATGACATCTTTTAAAACAAAACACTCTCTCAGGATGCCGCTGGGCATCTGATGACATCTTTAAAACAAAACACTGTCACAGGATGTCGCTGGGCATCTGATGACATCTTCAAAACAAAACACTCTCTCAGGATGTCACTGGGCATCCGATGACATCTTCAAAACAAAACACTGTCTCAGGATGTCACTGGGCATCTGATGACATCTTCAAAACAAAACACTGTCTCAGGATGTCACTGGGCATCTGATGACATCTTCAAAACAAAACACTGTCTCAGGATGTCACTGGGCATCTGATGACATCTTCAAAACAAAACACTGCCTCAGGATGTCACTGGGTATCTGATGACATCTTCAAAACAAAACACTCTCTCAGGATGCCACTGGGCATCTGATGACATCTTCAAAACAAAACACTCTCTCAGGATGCCACTGGGCATCTGATGACATCTTCAAAACAAAACACTGTCTCAGGATGTCACTGGGCATCTGATGACATCTTCAAAACAAAACACTGTCTCAGGATGTCACTGGGTATCTGATGACATCTTCAAAACAAAACACTCTCTCAGGATGCCACTGGGCATCTGATGACATCTTCAAAACAAAACACTGTCTCAGGATGTCACTGGGCATCTGATGACATCTTCAAAACAAGACACTCTCTCAGGATGTCGCTGGCATCTGATGACATCTTCAAAACAAAACACTCTCTCAGGATGCCGCTGGGCATCTGATGACATCTTCAAAACAAAACACTCTCTCAGGATGCCGCTGGGCATCTGATGACATCTTCAAAACAAAACACTCTCTCAGGATGCCGCTGGGCATCTGATGACATCTTTAAAACAAAACACTGCCTCATGATGTCACTGGGTATCTGATGACATCTTCAAAACAAAACACTCTCTCAGGATGTCACTGGGCATCTGATGACATCTTCAAAACAAGACACTCTCTCAGGATGTCGCTGGCATCTGATGACATCTTCAAAACAAAACACTCTCTCAGGATGCCGCTGGGCATCTGATGACATCTTCAAAACAAAACACTCTCTCAGGATGCCGCTGGGCATCTGATGACATCTTCAAAACAAAACACTCTCTCAGGATGCCGCTGGGCATCTGATGACATCTTTAAAACAAAACACTGCCTCATGATGTCACTGGGTATCTGATGACATCTTCAAAACAAAACACTCTCTCAGGATGCCACTGGGCATCTGATGACATCTTCAAAACAAAACACTGTCTCAGGATTTCACTGGGCATCTGATGACATCTTCAAAACAAAACACTCTCTCAGGATGCCACTGGGCAGTGATGACATCTTTAAAACAAGACACTCTCGCAGGATGTCACTGGGCATCTGATGACATCTTTAAAACAAGACACTCTCGCAGGATTTCACTGGGCATCTGATGACATCTTCAAAACAAAACACTCTCTCAGGATGCCACTGGGCATCTGATGACATCTTTAAAACAAAACACTGTCTCAGGATGCCGCTGGGCATCTGATGACATCTTCAAAACAAAACACTGTCTCAGGATGTCGCTGGGCATCTGATGACATCTTTAAAACAAAACACTCTCTCAGGATGTCACTGGGCATCTGATGACATCTTCAAAACAAAACACTCTCTCATGATGTCACTGGGCATCTGATGACATCTTCAAAACAAAACACTCTCTCAGGATGTCACTGGGCATCCGATGACATCTTCAAAACAAACCACTCTCTCAGGATGTCACTAGGCATCTGATGAGGTCTTTAAAACAAAGAATGTCTCTCAAGACTTCACTACGAAACGAATGACGTCCATAACACTACAAAATAACGTACAAATGTATTAGTTTCGACTGAATCGAAAGGGGAAAAAATGCATTTGTACAAAACTCCTCGTCGTTTAAATCCCCCCTTCCCCTAATCAAACCTTACACAAAGTTTTCTTTTTGTTTGTTTGTTTGAAGAAAAACAATTCATCGTCACGTGGTCTGCTTTCAACGGTCATCTGTATAGACGAAGAAACAAAACGCCAAACTAATTCTCAAGAAGTAAACTACTTTAAGTGATGTACATAGACCCTCTGTGTGTTTGTCTGTCTGTCTGTGTGTGTACATTGCATATTTAATAGCTACATACACTCCCACACACTCCCACATCTCTCTTTGCAAATTGTTGAAATAAATACTCGATACTAATATAATTTCAAAAGTAAAAACAATTTTGATTCTAGGCCTTAGAAAACAGGACATAATAGGTCAAGAACAATTTAAACACTGGCTAGATAGTAACATATTTAAACACTGGTTAGGTCTGGATAGTAACATACTTAAACCATGGCTAGGTCAAGATAGTATCATAGTAACATATTTAAACACTGGCTAGAAAGTAACATATTTAAACACTGGCAAGATAGTAACATATATAAACAATGGTTAGGCCAAGATAGTAACATATTTAAACACTGGCTAGATAGTAACATATTTAAACACTAGCTAAATAGTAACATATTTAAACACTGGCTAGATTGTAGCATATATTCGAACACTGGCTAGATGGTAACATATTTAAACACTGGTTAGGTCTGGATAGTAACATATTTAAACAATGGCTAGGTCTAGATAGTATCATAGTAACATATTTAAACACTGGCTAGATAGTAACATATTTAAACACTGGCAAGATAGTAACATATATAAACAATGGTTAGGCCAAGATAGTAACATATTTAAACCATGGCTAGGTCTAGATAGTATCATAGTAACATATTTAAACACTGGCTAGATAGTAACATATATAAACAATGGTTAGGCCAAGATAGTAACATATTTAAACACTGGCTAGATAGTAACATATTTAAACACTAGCTAAATAGTAACATATTTAAACACTGGCTAGATTGTAGCATATATTCGAACACTGGCTAGATGGTAACATATTTGAACTGATTGAGGTCACTGGCTAGATATTAATATATTTGGCTAGATAGTAACATATTCGAACACTGGTTTGAGGGCATAAAATTGATATATAGATGACAAAGTAACACATTAGATCAAAGTTCTATAACTCTGAGGAAGAGATGTAGGTCTAGTTGCCAATTATTTTTTGTGTTTTATATATTTTAGGCTACAATTTACTCAACATCTAGCAACATTTTTGAATCAAAGAAGTCCACACTTAAAGAAATAAGTCAGTTCTAAGAACGGTAATGAATAGTTACACACTGACATACACATACATCTGCTTGTCTCCCTTCGATCACATCTAAAAAAGTCACATCTGGATAACCAGAGACTTTATTTTCACAAATGGATAGAAACCAAACAATCGTGCAGTTTATATATAGTGACTCTTTTACAGAGATGTGGCGTGTTTTATTTTAATAATAATTATTATTTGTTAATTTTTTGGTTTTGTTTTCGCTGTTTATTTTAATGAGACTTTGGTTTCATCTCATATCATTAAGGAACTTATAGGAAAGACAAGCGAGGACTCATGTCCATGTAGGTACACGAGAAAGTGTTTTATGGCACAAAGTGGGTTTTAGTATATTATGTAAGAATTTAACGAAACTCGAAGTCCAAATCAAGTACCCCCTCTATGTCTGGTCCATCAAAGTCCAACAAGTCGGTCATTGTCAGTAACAATATACCAAGATTGTTCTGCACTTGATGTCGAAGATTGGTCGGGAGGCGCTGGGAAGTAGCAGAAGCGGTCATGGAAGCGTAAGGATTCCTGCCAGCAGATGAGTGAATCACAGGTCTGGGTCTATTGAAATTTGGTCCAAGAACCGACGCCAACATCAACCAGCCAACTTTTCTCACGTGTTCGGGGTCCAGGAACCCCGAGCCCGAGCTGCTGACTCCGTCACTCAGTTTCCCGGCTGCATCTTTAACTCCATCGGCGACCTGGCCTGTTGCTTCTTTTGCAGCCTCAGCGACATTCTTCATGGTGTTGTCAGCTAACTCGAAAGCCTTACTCACAATCTCTTTCGTTTTCTCGCCAACATTTTCAGCCGCGTCTTTTGCCCCGGTGGCTAATTTCTCCGACACTTCCTTGGCTGCACTGCCCAACACATCCCCTGCATTCTTGGCGTCGTCGACAACGTCAAAGACGTCAAGGGCGTCGCTCAACTCCAGAAGATCAATATCGGATGATTCTTGTAGATCCATGTCTTCAGCAGCATTAAGCACTTTCTCTGCGACAACGTCAAAGACGTCAAGGGCGTCTCTCAACTCCAGGAAATCAGCATCCGATGATTCTTGTGGATCTATGTCTTCAGCGGCATCAAGCACTTTCTCGGCGACATCTTTGGCTGAATCCACAATGTCTTCAGAAACACTGGCCATCGCCGCGATAATGTCGCCAAGCTCATCCTCATCGTCAACATCCATATCGCCATCGATACTATCTGCTACACTTTCTCCGACATCAGGTATTGATTCCTTTATGTTGTCCCCAAGACTTGATAGAGTGTCTTTCACGCTGTCCCCAGCACTTGAAATGGCATCATTTATATTGCCGCCAACATCGGACAGGGTGTCATGTACATCTCCCCCAAGATCGGATAAGGTGTCATGTGCTTCGCTCCCTGCGTCAAAAAGAGCTTCTTGAACACTTCCTAAATCTGGAAGGGCGTCTTTGATATTTCCTACAGCGTCAGATGCCGCATCCTTCACTGGATCAAGCTGCTAAGAAAGAAGAAATACAAAGACCTATAATACTTGAGAATTTAAAAAAAAAATGTCTACAAAGATATGTGAAACCTATAAGACTAATAAGGAACTGCACAAAGTATATAGGGATACTGTCATATGGAGCGATACATTTATGATGTCGCTTTTCCTCCACTATCATTCCTTTCAAATAGAAATGAAACATCATGATACAAACGTTGAATTGTTTTTTAATTTTTTATTTTTTTTACTTATTATCACAGGGGTTCTCAATTCTGTGGCTCGCGACCCCCTAGGGGCTCGATTGATGATTTCCCAGGGGTCGCCAGAGACCATCGAAAAAATGAATAGTTTTGTCTATTCTTCTATTGCTGTGTGTCTGAGTGGGGGGGGGGGGGTCGCGGCAGAGTGTGGGATTGTAAAGAGGGGTCGCCGAGTTTAAAAGGTTCAGAACCGCTGTAATAATTATCACTTTGCAGCCGCGTCCTTTTGGCGTAGATGCTAGTGGTGATTTTCTAATGAATAGTTGTTCCAAATAGAGGGAAGTACAAATCATTACATACTAAGTAAACAAACTCGTGCTTGAGAAATAATAACGATTGGCTCTATTAATTAGGAGCATCCAAAATAAGGTGTGACTTCCATTTTTTATTTTGTGGGATTATAAACAATAAGTAACAAATGGTCTTCAATTATATTATTTTGTTACAAGTAGATGGTTTCAATTTTCTTTAAAGATATTAGAATCTATTTTGCATTTCATTTACGAAAGTATTAAAGTTAAAATATATATGAAATATATTATTTACAAAGTGTTTTTATTTACTTATCATAGAGTCAGTAATACTTGTACTAGAGTGGACTAGAACATTTCATTTGAAACTAAATACAAAAGGGCTGACACGAGGAATAATGCAAACATATAATAGATATACAAGACAGCATCAACATTATGAAATAAGGGAGAGCATTGGCCTGGACACGAACCAGTGACCCTCCGATTCACCACCTAGCAGCAACACAGAGCCAAGAAATATAACTATCAGATTATCCGGATCTCAAAACAGACCAAAAAAAATCATCCTGATCAGTGGCGTTCGCAAGAAGAGCCTATCACCCAAAGGTCAACTGTCAAATGCCTCAGCCGACCCAGTCGCCAGCCCCGAAATACCTTTCTTCACCAACAATCCAAACAGAGCCAACACATAAATAACCTTTAGGCAAATCGATTGTATTCTATTAGTATGGATTATAACACTTGTAGTTCTACAAATTTTTTTTCAATATATTTTAAATTAATGTAAAAAAACAAAACAAACGTGTTTAATGCCGTAAGTATATTTATTAAACACATTCAATTCTTCTAGACTTAGATAAGGTTGGGCTGTCACCAGTGCGACTGGCATATAATATCATTTCCCCTCCTCCCAAACCTAACTTTTCGTTAAATTCTTTTTTTAAAGCATAATTAAATAATTAAACTTAATGAACTGAAATCATTTTGTTTTTAATTTCTTTGCTTCTGATATTTTTATAGTTTGGTGTTACCCCCTGTTACCATGCAAAGTCCAGATCGAATGGACTTTGGGGATGTGGCCACTGTAATTCTCATGCTGGATATTTTGGTTTAAGACTGTCATAATTTTCACTTGAAGAAGCGAACAATAACTTTCAGAACAAGGGGAAATCTCGCACCTTCAATCCAGAGGCGTAGTGAGCAAAACGTGCGCCCGGGGCAAGAAACTTTATTGGCGCCCCCCCCCTCCCATGAACATCACATAAAAATATAGGCCTACAAATATAAAGTATTTAATAGTTATATAATACCAATAACCGTAGAATGTATTACCTAACTAAAATATCTACAATAATGTTTTGGCGCATTTCTGCTGTGTGGCGCCCCCCCCCCCCCCCACTTACAGAAGCAATCAGCGCTGTGTTTATCATGTTACTTGCAGACTCCATTGGCTGGCCCTCGAGAGCAGATTGGCTTCCTTTAGTCTACATAATAAGGAGGAAAAAAAGGATATCATTATTATTTCAAGCTTTTTGGAGTACAAGCCTCTTGAAGTGAATAGGTCATCTGTTGTTGTTTTTTTACAATTTAAACACTAAATTAAACACACACCCAATAATGAGTGCTTCTGCTGTTTAGTTTTCACACTTTATTGTAACAGAGATTTTGACCAAATATTTTACACAATCCTTTAAATTTTACCTTTTTTACAGTGCTTCTTTCGTTCAGTTATTGGAAAAAGTAAAGTTCCCTTATCATATTATATGGTCTATATGAATGATGATGTAAAGGTCATCAGTTTCTGTGGCCTACGGTTAACAAGGATGTCATATGGTCAGCACAACGACCAACCACCTTTACTTTCCCCAAATAATGTCAGGTACCCATTAGAACTGGATACAAACTCAGCACAAAATGTCCCTGAACTCGTTCTCTTTTCATATCATGATAAACAGGAGAAAGTAACTCTATATATACATTAACTTATCAAAAATATCATCTTAAAATATTTTTGATATGTGACAGATAAGTGTTTTGAAAATTTATTTTTTTTAATTCAATAGTTGGCAAATTATTTACCATAATGCAAAAATAAAGTTAAATATCACTTGATTTAAAAGTATAAATTATTTGCACAAATTTGTAAATAATATTTCCAGACGATTGAAAATGTAATGTTACATTAGTCATAAAATAAACAGTGCAAGAAGAGGATTAAAAGACATACAGAGAGTTATCTCCTTGCCGACAAATGTATACAGTTCAACCAACAAAGTCGACAAAAGAAAAATGGATCAGTGACCAATGCATTATAATGAGCAGTAGCTTGAACATTGGCAATAGCAATAAAGCTTATGAAACATTAAAAAGCTTGAACTAACACAAGAGAAACTCGTCTAGAACCACAGTCTTTGAAGAGACGAAGGCTTAGCTGGTTCGGTCATGATGTAAGACACGACTCAGCACGAATAGTCAATTCTTCAAGGTCCAGTCGATGGAACATGCCACAAAGGGTCGTCCAAAGAAAAGAAATGTTCAAGAATGGACCCCGGGCCTTTGTCC